GCTTTCAGTCCGCGGTTCCCATTTTAGCACACCAGTTCTGGAACTTGATATCTTCAAAATGCTTACCATTGTCAAAAATGAGCACTCGAGACAGTCCGAAGCGGCATACTATGCTCTTCCAAAAGAAGTTTTGCACGGTTCGAGCTATGATTGTTGCTAGGGGTTCCGCTTCTACCCACTTTGTGAATTAATCCACTGCTACAACTAAGAATTTCCTACGTCCTGCCGCTGGCGGGAATGGTCCAAGGATGTCGATCCCCCACTATGCGAAGGGCCATGGGCTGGTGTGGTACTTCAGGTCAGCAGCAGGTTGGTGATGGATGTTGGCGTACACCTCTAACATTTGTCACATTTCTTAACAAGCTCGAGCGCGTCTGCCTTCATCGTAGGCCAGTAGTATCCTTGCCGTAGCGCTTTCTGGGCGAGAGCCCTTCCCCCCAAGTGTCCGCGGCATAGGCCTTCATGGGTGTCGTGGAGGACGAGCTCAGCCTCTGAAGGTCGCAAACAATGCAAGTAGGGGAGCGTGTAGGATCTTTGGTACAATCGTTTGTCTATCATGACATACTTGGTTGTCTGTCATTCTACCATTCTGGCTGCATTGCGATCTGTAGGTCGGGTTCCGTGAAGTAGGTAGCTCGCGAGTGGGTCAATCCAGCTCGGCTCTGTTTGTGCAATGGGAGCCATACCTCTAGTCTGCTCAGGTCGGCTAGGTCGCGCGAGCTGGCCGGGATTTACCGCTCGAGGTGCTCCAGCATGCCTCCTTTGCTGCTGCTCAACTGGTTCCGCAGCGGTGCTGCTGACCTCTGCACTGCCAAATGGTGCTTTGGTCGGAAGCGATTCGGACTGCCGACTACTACGGACTGAAATGTCTTGCCTGGAGTTCTCAGTTAGGACTTCGAATCGGTTTCCTGCAAGAGTGCCTTTAGGTTGTGAAGGTCGAGGTGGACTGATTCTGGTGGGCCGAGTATCTCTCGACCTGCTTTTTTGTTGAGAAATGGGAGGGACTTGTCTTTCTCTCCTACCGCGAGATGAGACCTGGGAGGTCTCCCCCCGACCAGGACGACTGCTTTGGTGGCGAGGCTTGCTCGGGGTGATTGGACACTGAGGTGGGGTAGGTTGCTGGTTCTGCTACAACGGCGGGAACTACTGCTGGTACATGTGATGCAGAACTTGTTGTTGGTACTGCTGGAACTGTTGGACCTACTACATTTGGGCTTGAATAGCCCGTACGTAGTATACCAGGTCGCTTAGTCGGTTTTGTCCTACTCCAGGGGGAACTATGGATGGTTCAACGGAGGTTGCACCCACTACAAGGGGAAGTGGGGCGTTTACAGGCTCAGATGGTTGAGCTACAACAGGTGTTGGGATCCCACCCGCGGGGAGCGGTATGGTGAACTGGCCTAAACAGACGGTTGGGAACTGAGGCTGCCCCCCGGAGACGTTTGCTTCTCTGTGTTGTCCGGCGTTGCTAGAAGAAGCCATGGGTTTGGTTTTTGAGTTTTTAGGGTTTTGGAATGGAGATAGAAAGGCTTTTTGTAACAATTTCCCACAGATGGTGCCAATTGATGTGGCGTAATCCAGCTACTCTTTGTTGGATACGATCTGGTTGCCAGCAATGATGAGAACGGGGTTCCTGAAAGAAATGAGTCAGAGATCCCGGGGTGGCTCACCTGGCGAGGCTACTCCAATGGCTAAGTTAGAGCATAGTGATAGTATAGAGAGCTTGAAGATGATAACAGTGAGAGAGCTAGAGAGTGAAGATTACACACACAACAATAATAATAGAACGTACCTTCGCCCCTAGGGGGCAGGGTCTTTATACACTGTGGCCCAGGTGGGTTGGTGGAACGGTCACTGAATCCCTACTGTGGTGGGACCTGTCGCATGTTAGGTGGTTGAAACGCCGCCAAACGGTAACACTGTTACTTCCCGTCAGAACGGGGAGTTGGTGAACTAATGTTACCGTTATAAAGTACGGTCCTGCGGGATACAGAGTACGGGGGAGTGTTCCTCAAGGTTGCCATGCGGAGGTCTGAATGGTAGGCGAGCTACTGTAGGATACCGGGCTGCTTGATAGCAAGCTTCTCAAGCTCGTGTTTAGGTCCACCCCTGACATGAATGCCGAAATGCCCTTGGGCCGAGGTGATCCTGGTGTGATCTTATGCTGAGGTATATTTGTCCCGAAGTAGTCCTGACTGAAGTGGTTACATCTGTCCGGGCTCGATCTATAACAAACTTGGTTCCGTTATCCTGGTCGCGATCTGACACCGAGACGATCTTAGCCCGAAGTGACTTTAGTTTGGGGCACTAGCGTACCCGAGCTCGCTTTGTAGTGAGCTAACTTATGCTGAGTTGTCACCTGTGTTGAGTCACGTCCACATGTGATCACGTCGAGTTGTTTCTTATGCGGAGTCACGTCCACGTGTCTCCCTGTTAGGAGGTTGGGCCAAATTCTCTTTCATCAATCACCATGAATACTTTTCTCACAATGATGCTCAGATTGTTCAATCTTCTTGTAATTTTGAATCTTATGGGGGATTGTTGGAGGGAGATTCAAATTTTCAAAAATCTCTCTACTCCCTCTCTTGTGTTTGACTTTTCCTCTTCCCACTCTTGAGTGCATGGGAAGACTCCTTGTCCCACATTGCTTGGGAAAGGAGTGGAAGTAGAGTATATTTGTAGTTTTGCTCTCTCTAAGGGTAAGGACCCATAGGAGGAGAGCACTATAGATATTCCATGCATGTGAGGGGGGGTTGGGGGTGCTTTTCACACGTGCGTGCTGAGCTGGGCCGGGCTGGGTCTAGGCATGGGCGTGAGCATGGGTACGCACGCGTTTTACACTGAATCATTTTTTTTGCTTTTAACCGGATTTGATTTCCGAATTAAACAGTTTTGTGTCCATTCAAACAGGTGTCTATTCGAATTTCAAACTTAATGTTTTAAAATGTTTTCTCTTTCCTTGTTCGTGTCTCTTCCTCTTTGTGCCTCTTCGAACAGGTGAACTGTTCTAAAGAGGCTCCTGTCTGAAAGGACACCTTTGTGTCCATTCAAATCTGAGAACACTTTATAAAAGGAGTGTTGGACAACCTAGTTTTTATCAATCACGTTTTCGACTCTTTGTCTTCTCTATGTATCTGAGCATCAGTCTTCTATGGTTCGTAGAGGTCTGGTAAGTGAGTGCACGCTTACCAGTAGCTTGTGGGCTGTTTTATCTTAGCGACCGATTTGCGATCACCCAACTGCATCATAGGGGGAAAATGTGGTTTTAAGGAGAGTGAACAAGTGTAATGACTCAACCCTCCTTCTCCCTGCAATTCCCAGTTCTGAGATTCTGCAACAACATCACAGCACTGCAAATTCTGTTTGAAAAGTGATTACCGATAAGTTTCATTCTGCCTCCTTTATTATTTTTACAACAGACTATACCCCCTTTATTCGTGTTCAAGATGTCCAAATGATGAAACTGAAAGATTAATTTAGGTTTTCTGATACATCCGAATCAATACAAAAATCAATTAATTGTTGGACATTTTTTCTCTATCGGTTATTATTCATGGTTTTCAAATTGTTTATGATGTTGAAAGTTGAATCATGGAAGAAAAATGGTGGGGATCCTAGTAACAGGTGATTGTATTGTTGCATGAAACTTGAGGTGCTGAGAAAGGCTCTTTATCTCAACAAAGACCCTCCAAAGGGTACGATTTAAAGCTCCGATGGTAGATCCAAATATGCTGCAAAAATCCATGTCCCTAAGGTAAAGGCAAAACGGAAGACTTGTTGTAGAAGGACAAAAAGTCTCTATGGGATTGTAAGCCCTTGAAAGCTTCATCACACATTTGGAGACATAGATTCAATTACAGTTTCTCTTTGCGCAAGTAAACTCAATTGAAGGTTTGCCACTCAATTTCAACATCGGTCTATGCGTTCACTGGGAGACAAGGGAAATTGGGTTGCAGATGTGAGATTTACACATATTACCATGATGACATAACACCTTCTGATTTGATGTATAAAAAGTTGTGTGGAGCATAGTGCAGGAGAGGTGAATTGTTCTATCCCAAACATGTGAATTACCCTACCTAATATTTCTCCATATAAGGCTATCTTAGCGTGGGGCTAAAATATAAAATAGAAAATCATAAACTTAGATATACTGCATTAGCCCCAACAAGAAATCATTTCATCTAATTGAAGGTGGGGCTACGACACTGTCCTAGCAAATATAGGTTGGTATTTCTCCTTTGGCAACCGAACCATTTGGCACCATCGCATCCTCAAGGGCCTCCACCCATGGATGATGGGATTTCATCTTTTACGGATGTCATTGTTTTGGGCCCATGGGTGCAAATACTCGGACGTTGCATGCGGACTAGTAAATGGGCCTTTTGCAACTGGGTCCCTAGGCGCTCCATTGTACACTAGATCCTCTGCCCTGGTCCACCAACATCCTGTGGGCCTATTGGGTACCAACGACAAAACCATCTGCCTTCTCATTGACGAACTCTTTCCCAGTTTTCCCAAATATCTGAAGTAACGCCTATGATCAGTCTATATTCCCCTAAAACCATTCTATTCTATTTAATTTAACGGCCATGCTCAATAAAATATTCCACCAACCAGGCTATGAAAGACTGAGATCTGAGATGTGAGATCCCATCTTCTCTGATGGGAAAATTATCATACATCTAGCACACAAGCTCAATCAAGATAAGCGTGACTCATATGAGATCCCAACCTCACAATAACAGGTGGCAGAGTGTTACTGGTTAGACATTAGCGTGACTCATGTCAGCCCTCATCATTCCACGTGTCAATTTTAAAAGCATTCTCATAAGTCATAACTCATATGAGTGTTTTTGTACGCAACTTTGCATCTGGTACGCTCCATGTGCACGTTAGAAGAATCACGGAGCCACCAATACACGCTCAATCCCTCTCCCTCTCTCTCTCTCTCCTGAAGTCCATCTCGTCAGGTGGCGTTAATATGACGAGTCGCTCGATCCATCCGAGAAATGGAATCATAAAACGTATCCACGACCCTTCAGTCCCCCCACCCTCTCTCTCTCTCATTTTTTCTCGCGCTCTCTTTCTTTGTTTCATTTTTATCCCAAACCCGAAAAGAAAGAAAAACCAAACCGAAGCACGCAACGCAACCTTCGCGAACACAAGGGAGATCGGATGCTCGTCTCCCGCCCATAACTCTTCCACCTCGATCTAACTGTTTTGAGGTCCTCAACTCACGATCTCTCGCTCTCCAGAACCCTATCCCCTATCAAAATCCATTCATCCATCGACGCCGCTACATTTTTCGGATGATTCTTCAGGTATGCCCGACTCCGGTTTGTCTCTCAGTTCCTTTCTCTAGGGTTTCAACGCCATTTCCATTTTTAGCTTGCTCGAAAATTCGAAATTTTAATCGATTTCATGATGTTTTTGTTTGGCTTGTTTTGTTTAAGGATCTTCATGTGCATTTGTTGTCGATTGAATGAAGTTTGAGATTTGATTGATCAATTCTGACTTTTTTATTTTAAGAAAGATTTAGTATTTCTTTTTGTTGTTTGTTTGAGAAGTTTGGAATCTTTAATGATAAATCCTAGCTGGGTAAGGTTCGATTTCCCATGTGATTGTGATTTAATTAATGCCTGGTTCCGTGGAATCTGGTGGAAATTTTAATTGTGTAGCTTCATACTTTCATTTCTATTTCCGACGGTCTCCCTGTGTGGTCCTTTATCTTGCACGTTGGTTGGAATTTCTTGAAGCGATTCATTTTGGTTTGTCGGAAGTTTGGGGCTTGAATTTTATTAAAGGGGATCCTGGGATGGGTGCATCTATGTCTTTGTGACCAAATTATCTTGGATCTGGAGTTGCTCGAACTACGAGGTAGGTGGGTTGCTTTTTGGTGGTTGAATTAGATTTTGTTTCAGGATGGTAATCTTCTTTTCTTGTTTATCATTTGAATTCTTCTAAGTTATAATGGCTGCTGTTAGTGGGAATTCGTTTCTGCACATGGATCAGGTTTTGGGGATAGAGGGAAGTAGGAGCTACTAATGGAAGAACTGGGCATTCAGTTGAACTCTGATTTGTTCACACGGAAGCCCAGGAATTTGGACTGGACCCTGAATTTATCACTATTTTATGGCATTTCTCCCAACTTCCCCACTCCCACCAAGGAGAAATGAACAAATAAACATAAAGCAGTTTGAACATTTTTTCCTAGTCTGTTCTGATGTTACTTTCTAATTACTATAAGGAAGAGTGTTAGTGTGCTCTTTTGTGAACTTGGGTTAATGTGGGAATGATTCTGTCCCATTTCTTTTTGTCTTCTTACTATTGAATCTGTTTTCTTTGTGGACTAGGTCCAAGAACAGGAAAATTGTGTTTTTTTCCACTGTCCCACATTCATGGATTTATTATCTTTTGTGGCATCCAGCATCCTGACATTTATGCACTTAAGAAACCATTCTTGATTGATGGAATGACCCCATCTTGTTTGTGAAAAGTTCACACACATGGTTTTTTCCTGATAAAAGCTCCATTTTTGTCATCCCCTGGTACTAGAAATTTATCAAGAAAGAAGAGTGAACTACAACTACCAGTGTTTATGATCTATCCCGCCTATTAAAAAACTATAAAACATCAATTTTCTTTTAATATGGCTTTGTAAAATATTTTCGGAGAAGACTGCAAATGAATTCCGAAGTGCAGAGACTTGAGAATTCAATAAGATTGTGGCAGTTGCAGGAGTAGGAATCCAGATTAAAATGATCCCTTTGGATATTATTAAGATATTGGGTGTTTCCCTTGGTGCATAGGAATAGGAATAGGATTAGCAAGTCTGGATGTGGTTTACCCCTTTAGTGGATAGCAGTGTAAAGATCTTAGTTGGTTTTAAAGATGTGAAAATGCCTTTTGACTAGTCTTTGGAGAAAGTTCAGATATTTTGTACTTGGGATTAGTTCATCAAAGCACTTAGGGCCACAGTGACTGCTTCACTAACTAGCAGTCAATATCCATGATGCAGTCAACTGGAAGACAGTGTAGTGTTTTAAGCAACACCACTTTTATTTTTAGTTTGTTATCACATTCATGCCAAATGCTTTAAGCACTTGTGGTATTATGTGGGTGCTGATGGTATTTAAAATAGAACAAAGCATAAAATAGAAGAACAATGGAAGAGTTCTCTTAGGTCTTTTCCCAATCAATAGTGTGCTAATATGGAATTGCCACAAAACAAGGGGACCTTCAGTTTTCTTTGAGAACCTGCTGATAATCTAGGCCCTATAGATACTTGCACAACATCTTGTATTCATAGATCAAAATAATTTGTGAATGAAGTAAGTTTTAAAAACAGAGTAAAAGCTCTTGTAAAGACTATCTTTCTATGTTTGCAAAATAAAGATTGTAAGTTAAACATATATAGGGTATCACCCCCCTTCATTGGATATAATAGTATAATTAATACCTCACTATCATTCATTGAAAAAAATAATACCCCACTATCAAAATAATGAACTCAACAAATTGACCGTTAAGTTTTGGAACTTTTAGTTTGGTATTTTCTGTTTTTGGTAGTTTATCTACGATGGAGGTTTGGTTTATTTTGTACCTATGTACTTTCCCCTTTTCACCTAATAATGAAGAGTTTTACTTGATATATGAAAATGGTTCTCCATGTATTAGCTTCCACCCATGTGCTAAGTTTCAGCTAAGTAACTCACTATCATGTGGCATCTTATTCTTTCTTTTTATTTGTGTAAATCTACACTTCAATCATGGTCACTTCTTGGGGAACAAGAACAACAGCTGATGATTTTTAAGGTTTGATATGTAACTGATATGTAACTGATATGACACTAGATGCTCTATGGGCATTTCTGGATGTACTAGTATTGGACATGATATGTAACTGATATGACACTAGATGCTCTATGGGCATTTCTGAATGTACTCTATAATATGAATTGTATTGTTAAAATATGTAATATGATATGGTGGTAAAAACAATGATATGCCTTAACAGAATGGAATGGAAAAACAAGATTCATGTAGCCGACTGCATATAGACATAGTTGGGACAAGGCTGAGATGATGATGATGACAATGTCTTAACAAAAAATTGTGTACATGTTAAAGATTTAATTAAATTTGGTGAGACGTAAGTCTTGAGAAATGAAATTTAGCTTCAAAAACTAGATATTAAAATTTGATATGATCATAAATATGAAATACCCATACCAGTAGCCGATATGAGATTTTAGGAGATGGAGGGTTGTATCCCTAATTCCTGTATCCATGTCTATGCTTGGTATCCATTATCTGGGCACAGGGCTAAAAAAGAAGGGGAAGAAGTTACAGAAAGTCTCTCAGATAAGAAGTGAGAGCTCTTTCTTAGACAACGGATGTGCTTAGAAAATGGATAAAGTAGGAGATTTGCCTCTCAGCGGAAATGGTTTGTGGGACCAGGGCGTTTTTTCCATTGTATTAAGGTAGGGGATGTGTGGGTTGGATGGATTTGCATTTTTGTTTGATTATTTTCATGTTCTGTGGTAGGGGTTTTTGTGATATTTGATTTGGGTTTTGGTAGTGGTTATTGGAATGGAACTTTTCAGGATGTCATGTTTATTTGAAGGGTTGATCACCTTATGCCTAAGGGATTAGATGTGAGTGTGGTACTGTTGTTTGATGGGTGATGTCTTATCACCCTGATGTATCCTCTTTAATCTTTCCCTTAATAAAGTGTATTTTTTATTTATCTTCCAAAAAAAAATCTGGCCACAATAGCTTGCTTGTTCAGAGGATCACCTTATCAAGTGGATAGGCTGGATTTGTCATGTCATTTATGTACATGGTTTCTGTTGAGGTTGTTAAGGGGGTGGAGTTACAAATCCATGCTTGAAAGCTTGAAATTTAATTCAAAATGAAAATAGACCTCCCAAAGATCTATTATCAGTGGAGTATTTTTACAATACGATTATTAGTCTAGTCCTTATGAGCATCTGTTATATGGTTTCATGTGCTCTATTCCTTATGTTTTAATGTCAAGGATGAATAGCTTTGTAGCTTTTGATGCATTCTGGGTATAAATTATTTATACTAAGCACATATTCTTAGATTAAAGTTTCTTTTGCTATTTTATCTGTCAGTTTGCTTGGGAAACACATTGAGGATTTCATATCAGAGAGTTTCTTTGCTTTTCAGGTATTATCATACTTATATAGATTGTCATGCATGAAGAGGACCTTTACAATTCTTTTTTTATTTGGAAATTGTCAGAAATAATATGATGCTTTGTTCATTTCAGTCCTCAAAAACTTCCTAAGATTCTTGTGACCCTTATAATTTCCTCTAGGATTTACTTTCAAGTTCAACTCTGACTCTGTTAGGTTGTGTCTATTGAATAATTTGATATTCACTTTAAACTCTGCCCTTTATCTGTTTCAGTAATCTGGATTTGCTAATCTTCATTTGATTTTATCCTCATTTTATCTTTATAAAAAAAAATAAAGATATGTTACCATGTGTAGTTTGGGATAAGGCTTAGATGTTGATAATGATGATGGTTTTTCCAGCTTTCTATGTTAATATTCACATGCTGTCTTGAGTAAGTTATGGTTCTAGTTTAGTTTCTCATCTGGAGAATCCAGGATCCATTGTTATCTACTGTATTTTGTTTTCAATGACTAGCTTGAAATGCTTCATTTCAAGACCTGTGGAAATTCTGATTGATTAAACAGTTAATTAATTATGTATATATGTAAATGTGCATGACTTTATATAAGAGTTAAAATATTATGCTTATATACATATTAGAAGAAGAAAACTAAAGAATTAGACAAGGAATATAGTTTCAGTGAGGTAAGGATCTTGGGTGCTGATTTCAAGGCACCTGGTCTCAGGCTAAATGAGGTTCCACAGGAGTGCCATCTTGGTGTCTCGGCTGCTATAGGGCTTTAATACCTAAATGATATATGACAACTTTGGGGATCAATCTCTAGTAGAAACTAGGAAAAAGCAATAGGAAATACAAAATATGGAATTAAAAGCATACATAGAGTCACACCCCTCTTCCTTACTTTTTTTTGGGTTTTATGTATACTGATTTCCCTAATCTAAACACAACCAAATAGCTTTTAGTCATACCTGTAGATGGAATGAATTCAAAATGAAGTAAAGTTTCCAGAAATCTCTCATAAAAATAATTCTTTGACATATCCAAGATTGACATGAACTTATGAATAGAAACAAATTCTAAAGCTAATGATTACAAACATGAGTTCTAAAATAACATGATTCTTTAACTTAAAAACAAAAATAGAAACCATAACAGGGACAGTAGACCTTTTCTTAAAAAATAAAAAAAAAACAGACTTGACCACTTCCATCAACTCAGTAACTTTCTCAATTGATATGCGAAAAAATGCAATGTTTTTATTCTTTGACAAATTACTGAATTACCTACCTACTTAAATGGCCCCAAAGTCAAGTTGAAATGGTCCATATGTCTGTTACATATTTTTATTTAGGGGGTGTTCGGTATTGTGGATGTTCCATGGACTTGGTTCTAAATGTGCCACACCCATTAGGTGTTCTTTTAGGGGTGTGGCACATTTTCAAACCATCTCTAGATGGTTTTGAAAGACAAAATATTACAATTTCTCTTCCACACCAAAATCTTATGGTTTGGTCAACTCCATGGTCGATTCAATCATTATTATGTATTGCATTAAATGACCAAGACATTTTATTGAAAAATTTGTTGACAATGGATCCACACCACAGAGAAAGGTCTAGTGGATTAAAAAACACCACATTTTGTGAAGACCTAGTACTAAACACCCCTTAGTGATTTAGTCACTCTTTACTCAATTATGAGATTATGATTAAAGATTGCTTGTTGACTTTTGTCTTTGTTCATATGTTCTTTTCTTGAGTCTTCTATTATACTCTTAAGGAAATTGATATTTACAAACATGGATTCGGTTTTTCCCCTTTTCCTCTTCACCATAAATATTTGATTCTTTTTGAGTGCTTACTCTGTCTTTCTACTGGGTTTTGTATTTTCCTATTTTTGGGATCTACCATCTTGATCTTCTCATTTTACAGTCTAGCCTAGAATGCACTTCTCAGGTTGGCAAGAATGTACTTAATGGTCGAAAAACAATTTCTTGCCTCTCAAAAATCTTTTACATTCATTATGAATAAAATCAGTATTGGCAAAGGAATTGTTTTGTACGTCTCAAGGCCCAAAAACAATTTTTTACCCCCTCAAAAAATCTTTTGCCTTCATTATGAATATAAAGTCCTTATTGGCAAAGGAACTCTTTTGCAAGTCTCAAGGCCCATCATTTGGGTTGTTTGCCCACAAGTGTGTGAAACCACAGGTATTTAGATTTTGGGACCACTGTCTGTTAAGATGATCACTGACTAGAGAGACCCTAGATGCTTCTCATTGGCTTGGCACCTACATGATGTCCAGGAACATAGGTGAACACATTGTTTAGTTAATAAGCTTGTTCTCTTACATTTTTTGTTGTTCATCATATAGCAAAACTTTAATTCTTTTAGTCTTGTTTTCCAAAAGTAAAAAATGAATTATTTAATAGGATGCTAGCAAACTTTGGAAAAAAAGGAAATCTTAAAGACTCTTCCTCCTAAAAGGTAAAGTATAAAAGACTATAGCAGCTTCTCCTCCAAAATTGAAGATGGGAAAAAAGAGCAAAAACTTTAAAATTAATGGTGCCAAGCCAATAAGAAGCATCTAGTGTCTCCCTAGTTAGTAGTCACCTTAACGGACAGTGGAAATTTTGGGCGGTGAGAATCGAACCAGCGGTGGAAATCATAGCAGGGATCATGTTGTCTTGCTGGTGAAGGGTATTTTGTCTGAAGTTTTGATGGAGCGTAGAGTCTCTTACAGTAGATCAGGTGGAGGGAAGCGAAGATGGGAAGCCTCCAACTGGTATCGCAGACTAGAGATGGAAGGAAGGGCTAGGCGCAATCTTTCTTACAGTGAAGTGGTGGTTGCGGGGGTTTGGCCTGCTCTTGGGGGGTTGGAGGTGAAATGGGTTAATGGTAAAAGGGTGGTTGCTACGGATCCTCAGGGGGTGAATGTGAGAAGAGAGTTTTGAGGAACTGTTTGGTGGGTAGGTTTCATTGGGGGGAGGAGATTAGGGAGGTAGAGAGGTGGGCAAATAGTTTCTAGAGGGAGGTGGGGGGTGTGAGAGTGAAGAAAATGGCGGACGGACTTTTCCTCTTTATCTATCCGTCAAGAGCTGGTGCAGAATTGGTTCTAAGGCAAGGTCCTTGGCAGTTGGGGAGGAACCCCCTTTTGCTGGACTGGTGGGGGGTAAGTGCGGAATGTCATTACCCTTACCCTTTCGATATTGGAGAGGACCTGGGGTCGTGCTGGATTAGGGTTTTCGGCCTTCCACTCCTGCTCTGGTGCCCAAGTGTCATAAGGGCTATCAGGGATGCTTGCGGGGGTTTCATAGAGACGGACGATTCCCCGTTGGAGATTGCGATCTGTGAGTGGGTAAGAATGAAGATTTGCAGGGGGAACCAAATCCCGAACAAGGTTGAAGTGGTGGTGGGGGAAGTGGTCTTCACTATTCAGATTTGGCAAGAAGTTCTACCGTCTGTTCAAAGATGGAGAGGTGGAGAAGAGCCGTCTTGTGATGTCCAGAAGGAAGACAAGGAGTGTTCAGACTTCTCCAAAACCTTGGTCCTGGAAGATTGTGGCAAAAGTGAGCTCCCCTGTGTTTCTGAAACAATGCGATACAAGAAGACTGTGACGCGAGGTGCTTCTATGACAGCTGATGATAGAGAATATGACGCAAGTTTGGGAGATCATTTGAGCCTTCTTATCTTGGCAACTTTGAATGGTCCAGATGGGCTCACCTAGGGTCCAGCTGTGAAGGAGATTCGAAATTTAAATATGGGGGGCAGTGGGTATGTTTTGGGAGCTGAAGCCATTAAAGACTTAATTAGAGAGTGTCTTGCTGAGCTCCAACTGGCACCTAGGGAAGAGATCCTGCACCAGTGAGTCATCAGCCAGCCTCCCCCAATTGGGTCTCAAGGGGACCATGGTACTTTGGATGAAGATTCTGGGCCTTGAGTGCTTTACCCAACCCAGCTGGCTCTTCAATCTTTCAACCTGGAAATTGGGCCTAGGCTCAATGGTTATAATGAGCTCAGTCCCCCCTTTGCTAGATGGGCGAATATGTCTCCAGATTTCAGTCCTCCGGTTGGATGTTGTCATCAGGGTATGGGTACTAGGGAGGCTTGGGATTCTCAGGATCGAAGGGGGATTGCTTCACGTAGGGAGAAGAAGGGTGGAGGGGGAATTTTGGACCCCAACGGGTTGTGAAGTCTTTACCGTCCCAATCGACTGCTTTGGAAGACGAGGTTCAGTTAAAGTCCAACCAGCTTGTGGTCTGAGAGAGGAAGAGGATCTGTTGGAGGTGGATCCATTAGTGATGGTGGCCGCATATTCTCAAGTATTAGGTGGTGGAGGTGTTCTTGAGGGTGCTGGGTCAGAGGTGGAAGGTAGCTCTTTCAGTGTAACTGATAGGGGTGCTGCCTTGGTTGGGCACCTCAAAAGATCAGCAATATGTTATTGGATCAGCCGAATCTGGTAGGGGAGCAGCTTGAAAGTGCTTCTGGTTCTTCATGGGTTTCTTCTAAGTTGTTGGGATTGGGAAAGTTTCTAGGGATCTCGCTAGAATGTTTGGAAGAGGAAACAATCAAGTACTTGGAGGGGGTGGAGAAAAGAATGTGTTTGTTGGCTAGGGGGAAAGCTGCAGTAAAGAAGGGGGTAATAAATCTAAAAGAAGTAGAGAATTTCTACGTTTGACGTGGAGCCTTAATGAGAAAAGCAAGCAGTAGTGAGGGGAGTTTGAGGGGGGAGAAAGGCTTAAGTGCCAAGTGTTCTGTTAATTTTAGTTTGTTTATGGAGTCAAGATATTATCTTGGAATGTTAGGGGGTTGGGATCGGGGAGAAGGAGGCTTGTAGTATGTGATTCTCTGAAAAATTCAGGTTTAGAACTGGTTTTGATTCAAGAAACTAAATTGGAAACTATGGAGGTTGAAGTGGTTAAAAGTATCTAGGGGGAGGAGGAGGGGGAGGTTAGGTGGAGGTCAAAGCCGACAGCTGGTAGTGTAGGTGAGTTACTGAGTATGTGGGACCTGACAGTTTGCAACTTGATTTCTCATCAGATAGGAAACTTTTCAATTTCCCTTGTCTTGAAACTCGCAGATGGTAATGTGTGTCAAATTACTAATGTGTATGGCCCTAATGACCGAAGCCGGAGGGAGGAGGTTTGGGAGGAATTGGCTGTAGGTAGTCGAAGTCTTGCTTTTCCTTGGGTCATTGGTGGGGACTTTAATGTCACTCTTTCTGGGGATGAGAGAAGCTCGGATATGGTGCAATTTGCTGATTTTATCAACAGATTTGAACTTTAAGATTTACCCCTTCATGGCAACAGGTTAACTTGGACCAACAATCAAGACCTTCCTACTCTAGTGAGACTTGATAGGTTTCTGGTTACTTCTAACTGGGAAGATATTTTCCTGGAGTTTAAGCAGATTGCCCTTCCAAGACTGTTGTCAGACCATATTCCTATTCAGTTGGCTTGTGGTGTTAGAGTGAGAGCAAAAGTTCCTTTCAAATTAGAGAATGCTTGGTTTGAGGACGATTCTCTTGTTCCTTTGTTGAAGTCTGTTTGGGAGGATTTGCAGGTGGGGGGTACTAGTTCATTCATCTTAGCAAAGAAATTGGAGGCCATTAAAGCAAGACTAAAGATTTGGAAATTGGAGAAAAGTTTGAGTCTGGATACTGAGAAGAAGGCTCTCTGGAGTCCATAAAGGAGATTGACACAGGTGAAGAATTAGGCCCTATTGCTGAGGAGCTTAGATTAAAAAGATTCCAGGTTAAGTTGAAGCTTGACAAATTGGCAGTGGCAGAAGGAATTAAATGGAGGCAAAGAGCCAAAGTGGCTTGGCTGAAAGAGGGGGATAGGAATACACATTATTTCCACAAAATGGCAAATGCCAAAGCTAGAGCTTCTGTAATTACCAGGCTGGAGGGAGAGGGCAGGGTGGGTATTACTGAGACTAATATGAAGCTTGTGGCAACTAGCTTTTACAAGAAGCTGTATAAGGAATCTTGGTCCTTCAGACCTTTTCCTAGATTCCTTTCTTTTAACCAGTTGAGTGATGAGCAGTCTTCATTCATTGAGAGAACTTTTTCTAAGAAGGAAATTAAAGAAGCTATCAAGTTGTTGGCTGATGAGAAGTCTCCAGGGCCTAATGGTCTTACAAATCTTCTCTACATTAAATGCTAGGTTGTTGTGAGAAAGGATATCTTGAATGTTTTCTAGGACTTTTTTGAGAGGGGTGGGTTCATTGCAGAGAAGTCTGAATACTACCTTTATTACCCTCATTCCAAAGATTGAGGGTGCAGTGAATGTTAAGGATTTCCGGCCGATTAGTCTGCTACATAGCTTCTACAAAATCCTAGCTAAAGTTCTTGTTGAAAGATTGAAAGTAGTTCTTGGTATTGTTGTCTCAAATAACCAAAGTGCTTTTATTCCGGGTAGGCAGATGCTAGATTCAATTCTTATTACAAATGAGCTCATTCATTCTAGGAAAAAAGAAGGTTCTCCAGGTTTGATTTGTAAACTTGATACAGAGAAGGCCTATGATCATGTTAACTGAAGATGTGTAGACCTTGTGCTTCTTTAGATGAATTTTGGGTAGAAATGGAGGAATTGGATTAAAGTCTGTATCTCTTACCCAAAGTTCTCAATCTTGGTAAATGGACAGTCTGCAGGTTTCTTTGATAATTCCAGGGGTCTTAGGCAGGGAGACCCTCTATCTCCTCTCCTATTTATGTGTTGTGGAGATCATCACTCTTTTTTTTTTTTGTAAGAAGGCTGCTATGTTAGGGGAATGGGAAGGTTTTGCAATGGTGCCGGGGGGTGAGAGTGAATATTCTTCAATTTGTAGATGATACATTCTGTTTTGTGGAGGCGTCCCCCTCTCAGGTGGTGTTAATCCTTGGGATTCTCTCTTGGTTTGAAGTGATTACAGGTCTGAGAGTTAGTTGGAATAAGAGCCAACTTATCCCAGTTGGACAGGTTTCCAATTTAGCTGAGTGTGCTGGTATTCTGGTTTGTCAGATTGCATCTCTTCCAGTCAAATATTTGGGTCTCTCACTTGGGGTGAGTGGTGGTTCCTCTGCTATCTGGGACCCAGTTATTGAGAGATTGGAAAGGAAGGTGACTTCTTGGAAGGCTAAATATCTATCTTTTGGGGGGAGGGTGACTGATTAAGAGTACCTGCAATCTGCGTATCTACTTTCTATCTCTGTTTTCCATTCCTAGGAAGGTTGCAAATCAGATTGAAAAGCATCAAAGGAAATTTCTTTAGAGAGGCTGGGAGGAGGAGAAAAAAAGTGCACTTGGTGAGTTGGGAACAAGTTTGTCTCCCCAAATCTGAAGGGGGGTTAGGTATAAGGAAGCTGAAACCATTTAACTCTGCCGTTCTATGTAAATGGATTTGGAGATTTGCTGTTGAATCTGATGCTTGGTGGAGGTCTCTTATTGCCAGCAAATATGGTGTGAGTTGGGGCAATCGGAGAACTAGGGATCCCCCTCCTAACTGGGGTATCTCACTGTGGAAAGGGATAATGAAGCATTTTCCAGATCTGGCCAGGGGGATCTCAATCAGGGCTGGTAATGGTAATAGGACCAAATTCTGGAAGGACTCTTGGTGCACAGATGCTCCTCTTGCTGAGTCCTTCCCACTCCTCTTCCAGTGTGCTTCAGACCAAGAGGCCTCAGTTGCTGGGTGCTATAGTACTTCTGGTTGTTCAGTTCTTTGGACTCCCTCTTTTCGAAGAAATCTCTTTGATTGGGAAGTCGATGAGGCAGTGAATCTCCTGACCTGTCTCCAGTTTCAAGAGTTGGATTATAGCTCAGAGGATAAGTAGCTTTGGACATGGAATTCTGATGGGATGTTTTCAGTTAAATATTTGGCTGCTATGCTTGGTAGGAGGGGTGTTCCTGATTTCCCAGTTCAGCAAGTGTGGAATCCCATTAGTCCGACTAAAGCCAGTTTCCTTGTTCGGACTATGGCTCTTAATAAATGCCTTTCCAAGGAGAACCTTGTGAGCAGGGGATTTCAGATTTCGGACCTATCTTGCAGCTTGTGTGGGTGCAGTGCTGAATCTACTGATCATTTGTGTATTCACTGCCCATTCTCTGCTCAGCTGTGGAACCACTTCCTCAGCTCCTTGAAAGTTTGTTGGGTGATGCCGAGGTCGGTAAAAGAGCTGTTATGTGGCTGGCATGTCGTGGGCTTGAGCAAGAAAAAGAAGACTTTATGGAAGATGATTCCAAGTGCTGTAATTCGGTGTATCTGGACCGAGAAGAATAGAAGGGTGTTCAGTAATAAGTTTCTAAGTCTGGAGCACTTAGCTCAGAAGTTAGTGAGCAAGCTGATTTCTTGGTTGTCTGTGGCGGCAGATTTTAGAAACTGTAATGTGTCAGATGTACTTTTTTCTTTGTCTTGATGGCTTATGTAATTGCTGAATAGATCAGTCAGCCTGTTCAGGGACTGATCTCAGCCTCTTGTGTGCATTTCTTTCTCAATAAATATTACTTTACCTTTTCCAAAAAAAAAGTTGTTAATAAGCCTTGCCTAATACTCTACACAACAGAATTGCTATTTTAAGTTGATGATAATGTCAACTAGCGCTGTAAATGTACTAGATCAATGAAGCAAAAAAATGTTGGATCAAATGGTGTTTACCTGGATCCAAATTTGATCTGTTGATATTTGGTGTGGAATTGAATCTTATCTTTCTGATTTATATTTGACTCTAATTGGTTCGGATATTGGATGCCATTAATAAATTATACTAAAAATTATCAGAATATTATTTATCATTAATAAAATTAATAGAAAGTACTTTGGTATTGTATATCAAGAATAAAATGACTTGAAAATAACTTCTATGTGACCTATGAACTCGTAAGCATATAACATTGAAACCAACTTTACTAATATTTACATATTAATATAAGCATATATTTAAAGATCATTGGATTGAGTATTATTTGGTATAAAAAAATGAAATATTGGATGTTATTGCTTGATCAGGGTGAATCCTTACTTGATCCAATTATAAACAGATTGAATTTAAATAAAGTAAAAATAATTAATACCATTGCAGTCCTAATGCTGACCTAGCAAAAAAAATATTCTTGTTGCAGTCAGTTAAATTTGGATTTTAGTTGTCTAGGTGACTGCCTAAATTATTAATGGACATCTTTGTACTATTTCTCTAGGTGACATCTAACTTATGTGGCGCCTGGGAAAACCATTGACACATCATTTGAGTCTTTCAGGAGAAGCATCACTTCAGGATTTCTAGTTTTGCACCAATGGTAGCAAAGCCTACTGTTTATTATCGAAAAAACAAAAGTAGCCAATCCTACTGTAGTGCTCTTCTCATGCTTCTGCCTTCCCTCGAGTTTTTCTGAGTACTGTTGCATGTAATAATGAGCATATGCTTGTTGTGGTGCTCAAACAACTAAAATGAATTGGACTAAATTAATTTGGTATCAATACTTACGTAGTGTTTGTGCCAGCTTCTTGTGTAGTTGCCTGTCAAGTAAATTAGTGAATTAATAATAGACATTTTTTAATTATATACCAGATAGTCTGGACTTTTGAGGTTACATATTTACTCAATCGGGGTTTTTGAAGTTGCATATTTACTCCTTTTCTTCAAGTTTCTTTCTACTTGCCATGGAGTAAAAAGAGGAAGCTCAAAGAGTTTTGTGTTAAAAATTCAAGTGGAAGATGCAGAATTGTTTTTAATTTCTAGTTTGCACCTTGTATATATATTTTTCTGATTTATTTATCTTCTTTTTTTTTTTATATTTTTACCACTTATTCGGCGGCACTTATTTTTATCTGTCCTGATCAAGCCTAACTTGTGGAATGTCTTTGCCTATCAGGAGTAGCTTGGAGATGGCAAGGAGTTCCAGGGGTCGTCGTAGACTTGCTTCCCGCCAATACAGGTCAAATCCATATCCATTGCCATCTTGCCAGCGGGAGGTAAGGGAGAAGGAAATCAACCAAAAACAGAAAGGCTGCAATGTCTTGGAGAAGAAAGACTGGGAGGATGCAACCTGTTCGGTCTGCATGGAGTATCCTCATAATGCTGTTCTCCTCCTCTGTTCCTCACATGACAAGGGCTGCCGTCCATACATGTGTGGTACCAGCTATCGCTATTCCAATTGCCTTGATCAGTTCAAGAAAGCCTACACCAAAGTAATGTCACCTCCTCATGGGCAAGCATGGCATGGTTCAACTAACCACACTGTTGGTTTGAATCCGGATTGGCCTAATGAGAAGTCTGAAGTAGTGGAGCTTTCATGCCCTCTCTGCCGGGGCCAGGTGAAAGGATGGACAGTGGTTGAAGCTGCACGTGAATATCTCAATAACAAAAAGAGAAGCTGTATGCAGGATAACTGTTCATTCATAGGAACATACAAAGAGCTCAGAAAACACGTTAGGGCAGTCCATCCATCTGCACGACCTCGTGAAGTAGATCCCATACTTGAGCAGAAATGGAGAAGACTTGAGCGTGAGAGAGAGCGTGATGACGTGATTAGCACAATAAGGTCATCAATGCCGGGGGCAATGGTCCTTGGAGATTATGTGATAGAAGGGAACCATTATGGCTTTGATACAGATGATGGGGATGCTGATGAGGATGATGGGAATTATGGGTTGCACTACAATGACAACTTATTCAATTTTGTCTTTTTCTTGAGGCACCAAGCAGGAGATGGTGTCAGTTTTAGTACAAGGTTGAGGCGGCTTGACAGGGGTCTTCATCGTTCATTGGATGAAGATGGCCGTGGTGGAATTCCTCATGTCACAGCTGGTGGTAGTTCAATCAGCACAACTGATGGCAATGATGATGACTTACCAGTTGATCGCCGTCGAAGGAGAGTGGTGGAGCTGGGTAGATCAGAGAGGAGGCTGAACCGTAGAAACCGAAGAAGGGCAGTTATAGATATTACCTGAGCGAGAGATGACTGGGGGTGGTGGGGGTTCCCTGGGGCTTGTTGGTTTGGAGCATTATTTGGGTTGGGAATAGGGGAATGGGATGTTAGGTTTTTAGTTGATGGATCAAGGCAATTGACTGTCTTGTTCCCTACATAAGTGCATGGTTATGCCTCATTTATTTATGTGGAATAGTCATGTGATAAAATGACTAGTAAAATTGGGAAAAAGGAAAAAAAGTGATTTCTTTTTTTTTTTAAATGTTGTGTTTGTAACATTTCCTTTTCTGTTCTTTAGAAGAAGCTCTTGATACAAGGGGAATTTCCAATTGCTACATTGTTTCGTTAGGGCTTTTGTCAAAAATATTATCTTAAACTTTCCAAATTTGTTCTTTTTCGTTCTGGGATTATTGATTTTATTAATCTTTAACTAGTAAAAGAAGGGGCAATCCAGTGAACGAGTCTCTCACCAATGTGGGATCTGTGGAGGGACAGATATATTCAGTCTTACTCTTACCCTTGCACATACAGAAATGTTTCCAAGATATGAACCCTTTTCACCCAAGTTGTAAAATTTAATTAGTAATTATACATCAATTTGGACATACAACCGGATGACAGCATTTCGGAGATTATACTTGTTGAGGATGCAGGGCATGCAGCCAAGCCAAGGTTCAGATTATCAATACAATATATATATATATATATATATATATATATTGGTTTCTCGGTGTTGGGCCGAAGGGCAAAATACTTTTAACTGAATCCCACTGCATGAGGCTTTTAAAGTTTTCTTCCGTATCCAACCGATGCATGGATAAATTTTGATGTAAATAAATTTTGTATGAAACTGTATGCTTTTAAATTTAGTTAAAATATAATGAACTGTGTATATTTAATTCCCCTATTTACATGAAATAAATATTCGCATATAAGTTGATTTACTGTTTCTTTTACTCCAATGTGCAAATTATAAATTTATGATATATTATTTAATATTTATGCACATTAATCCACTGTAGGTTTACCATTAATATTTTAATTTTGGATGTTTTATGCATATTAATTTGTAATAATATGTTGATGTGCATTTTAAATGCAACTCTGAAGTTAGTTGGAAGTCTGGTATGTTGATAGTAATGTATTATTTTATGCATGCCACTTTTAACTATTTACAATAATGCCACTAAATTTATACTTTTTTCATATTTGTTAAAAATTGTCTTTATCTCTTATTTTATTTACAATCGGACCATGTTGGGCTGTGTCGTGTGGACTGTGCTTCCCTCCCTTGAAATATTTTAAGGAGTCAGCCTGGCACAGCCCTCGACCCAAGACTGCATAGGCTTGTGTCATGTCGTGGGCTGGACTGGTCCGCGGGCCAAGTTTTAGGCCAAGACTTAACATAAATTAAAAAATAGATAAAAAATTAAAAAGATATTAAAGTTTTATTTTATATGAATTTTGATGTATACAATTGTTTATATATGCAATATAAAATTGAAAATAAAATTATATAGTATATAGTTATTATATATAATATATGGCCCAAGCCCATGCGAGCTTGTGCTGTGCCATGGGCCAAGTCTTAGGCTAGGCCATATATATTTTTTTATTTTGAAAAAAATAATGAAAATTTTAATATAAATTAAAATAAATAGACAAAAAATTAAAAAAGATCTTAAAATTTTATTTTATATGAATTTTGATGTATACAATTGAAAATAAAATTATATATATTATAATTATTATTGGGCCATGAACTGGGCTAAACCATGTTTTTATAAAGCACTCAAGGCACATAAAGCTTTATTATTTATTTACTTATTTTGCTAAATTATTTAATTAGTTATTATTGCTACAAAGTAAGGCATAGAATCATGTATATATTTATATATATTTACTTTCTCACTTGATTGTCTATTTATCTCATTTATTTTATAAATTTATTTATCTATTAAATTAAATTAATTATTATTTAACTATTTACAATTATTCCACTATATAAAACAAAAATACAATGACAAAAGTCATCTCTCCCTCTTTCTTTCTATTGCCCGATAGCCATGAATATATATTTATTGTTTTATTTTATTAAATTAAATATATTATTATCCATAAATTTTTATTATTTTAAATAGATCTTTTTTCCAGTAAACTTTTAATTAAAAAATTTACCTTTCACAATTTTTTTTCCTATATAATAATTTACCTTTCACAAGCCGCAACGGCAGGGCCCCTCCGCTAGTATGTATATAGCAAGAGTTGTTTAATTCTAACTGATGGATTTGTTACATTTAAGTGACCTTTGTTCGTTACCATTGTTTATATCTGAAACGTTTTGGATTGATTGATCAATAGAAATCGCTAAAAGCATTATTCTGTCTACCATATTGTAGTGTTTTGCAAGCATACAAGTCTCTTCAAATTGTGTTAACTCTTAACCTTGAGGTTGCAAATTTAAAATTTAGCATCAATCCCCATAAAAGGGCCATCCTCAATTTTCATATGATCATATCACCTATGCATGATACGGACCTCAAGTAATAGATGCTCTTGTGATCCAATCGGACCTGGACCCATCCCATCAGACCTGGGTAAGAACTGACCTGATGATATGTTCGACTAAACCACCACCAGATTTGATATGAACCAACGATGCTCAACTAAACGACCTGACTTTCGATTTTGGATATACCCAGTTGGATGTTGTTAAAATCTAATACCAGAAAACGAGACGTCTTAGAACAGGTCCAATAGGACAGACCAACGTGCCACCCAGGAGAACGGGACCCAGTTACCCAGATCATGTCTGTAACTGTGCGTATGTGCAACAGGTAACTGTGTAGGGCATTACGGTCATTCAGCACAGTTGTTATTGCGAATTCATTTTGGCTGCAAGTCCCAGGTTATTTGATATAAGCAATCAAATTTTGCCATGTCATGTTCCACACTCTTAAAAGTTAAGTTCGAGATTCTCCTAAGCTTGAGTAATGCGGCAGAATCAAGGTTTTAAATTTCGACGTATTGGCCGGTCACTAAATGCTAATATAATTTAATTAAATGCTCATTTAAGTTACCTTTAATTGCAGCATTTAATAATGTCATTAATGTTATTTAAGTGAAATAACTTGTTAAAAATCACAAACCAATTGTAACAAGTTTCGAACCGAAGTCATTTGCTTATAACAATAATTAATTGACCATTATGCCAACATTAATTACTTATTAAAAAGACGTTTTTTATACTTAATCTTTCTTGCCTTGGTGGATGTTTCCCGACAAATGCTATAAATTTGATTATTAATATTTATATAATAATAAAATGAATACAAGTTATATTGATTTATTAAAAATTAAGGTATATATTAACTTGTATAGATAATAAATATTATCTAATTCTATATATAATAAATATTAGTATATATACAAACATTTTAGTTCTATTATTTTTCAATGGTTACTAATTATATCCCGATACTTTGTATAAATCATTAAAGAATGCTTTTTATGTTTAAATAAATTAGTTATACTCACATAAAACTCATTTTTATTATTGTTCATATTTTTAAGGATTTTTTTTTGGATTTTCTAATGCATACAAGTGTATCTTGATGTTTCGTCTGTATCTATACGTTTCCAAAGCATATCTCGGTATGTCTCTTAAAATTACCTTTCTGATACACCTTGCGTTTCCGATACTTTGAACCTTAGGCAGAATTCGATTGAGTAAGAATTTTCAACTATGACGAAAGTGAATTCTGCTCATCTGATAGTAGTTCAGAGTTATCACATCATAAATAGTTGAGAGAAGCCCATTTTCGACACCTAGAAAACACTTGTATGAGTCAATGGACGCATCATAAATATTTGAGAGAAGCCCATTTTCAAAGTTATCACCTCATCAAGTTCCATCTCACTAAAATTTGGGTTGAAACAACTTGAGTGACTACCAGTTCGAGAGCCTAAATCAACTTGTATGAACATTTTCAATAGAGAGACTACACCTAGTGAGAACTTAACTAACGCTGAAACCAGTTGATATCAAGATGAAAATGATCCAAGATTTACCAATAAACCTAAAGTTTTCAAGATTTAAGAACACAATAGCACATACAACAGAACAAATAATCATGGTTTTGAAAACTGGACCAGACTGGATGATCGAACCGGTTGACCCATGAACTATTCAGGCAATCGGTCTGCTTCACCCTAAAACCACTCATGGGCCAAAAACCATTGATTTGGTCAGCAACCCACTGACCCAGTCAGTTGATCCGTTAACCCAAAAACCAGTTTTTGGCCGCTTTTTTATATTTTAAATCAAAACAGGTCATCCGTTCATACCGAACGATCGGACTGTTCAACCTGGGAACCATCCCAAAACGGTTCTGCGTCCAGTCCGGTTTTTAAAACCTTACGAATAATGGACAAGAATAATTGTAAGAGAACATGCTAGAAAAAATAAAAGAATTCTTTAGTTTCTTTTTATTGACATTAGGTGTACAACAATCATTTATCTGGTACCTTTTAGACTCTTGCGAACAAGATAGCAGTTGCATAGGCATGCCATATGTGACCAGGAACCGCACCTTGAAGGGGAGACGACAAGATAGTAAAGGGGCTTATGAGGAATTTAGGTGGATGAATATAAACAAGTAGGGTCATGAAAGAAAAAAACATATACACACGAGCTGCAAGATGTAACAGGAACCAGGACTATACAGGATCACATGCTGTGAAGAACCAGGACTATCGATGATATCCTTTGGTACAAGGCCAAGGGTGAATGACATGCAAATCCTTTACCAAACAAAGCTCAGGAAATACCTCTGTATTTTTACAGATCCTTCTTTTTCCCAATAGCTGTTGGGACACCATAACATACAGGAGACGCCCCAATCAAGAATGGCAGTGTGCAAGCCTCTCGGGCTTGACTCATGAATGATCCAATCTTAGGTCTTTGTCCAGAACAATCCTTACATGTATCACTAGATGGAGCTTCTTGTAACTTCTTTCTTCTGCCTTTCTTTGAATTTTCCATTGTTCTGCTTATTCTGAGGGACCCAAATTCATTTGATACTAAATTACATTGGCCACAATCAATAGAGGAAGTAGATCGTTCTTGCAACCAAGCGGCAAGCATGGCTCTACCAAACCGGTCAATATCCTTGTCGGTCACTTCCCATAGATTAGCAACAATGGCAGGGGAACCAGCTAACAGGTATGAGAGAGGAGCACCCTGTGGTGTATAACACCCCATGAGAGAGAGGGAGCCACTACTGCAGCCCATTAGAACAGTAGCAGCACATCTTTCCAGTTTCTGAATCTCATGTCCAGATATATACTGTGTCCCTGTACCATCAAATGTAAACAACTCAATCAACTAATACTGGAAAGGAGGAACAACAGCATGTAGGTATAGTGCTAGCTGCAACAGGCTAACAATGCAAGGAGAGGGGATAATAGCCTATTTGGATGTCATGTGAAAAGAAGTAATTATATTGTGAATTTTCATCTGCATTTAGGACAAAAACTTTCATCATACAAATTGGAGCCATTCCTCATTGTAAATAAATACTAGAATGAAATCATTTAAGGATTTTTCAATGATGTCTCTTCCATTTTCTTATAGACAACCAAAAAGGGAGTCATGTTATATGATGATAGTTTGGATCATAAAATGCTAAGAAAACGAATAAAATGAAATGGTTATATTTTAAAACTCACTTAAATGGGCTACAAGAATGATAAAAAAATAACTCAAGAAAACTGACTCCATAAGTTGGGCTTTTGTTAGTGTTCAATGGATAATGACCAATGCGAATACCTTTCCTTTTAAGTGTACACAGGAAATCCTATCCATAACAACAACAGCAACAGCAGGAACAACATGAATAGCAGTTATTCTTTTACTTTGAAAAGAATAACAAATAAGCATGGTAATAATGGTAACAACAAGCAAGTAGTTTTAAGTCAAGCATACCGCTTCCATGACCGAAGTATATAAATAGGTCATGGTTCTTTAGAGCGACCATCAACTCTTCAGCTGCGGGAGCAGTTCCAGCTTTCCCCTGGATCACAAAGCAATTAACGTTTCTAATGGTCAAATAAATATAAAATGGAAGCCTTTGGATGCAAATGACAGATGAAAAATGTGTATACTATTCATAGAAGTTCTTATTTGAAGGGTCAGGTAATCCTAAATTGCCATAGCACAAAGTCCAGATGAGCATGTGCCATAATTTAGAAAGCTTGCATATATATACACCTGAATTTTTAGGAAACAAAAGGTGTAAAATTACCTTCAGCTTTTGATTTTTAAACCAGTCCTCAAACTCAACTTGTGTGTGGCTGAGGTCACCACTAGGATTCAACAAATAAAATGCGTCTAGGGGGTCTATTGAGGGAAAAGCAGCCACAACCTTCCCGATTTGTTCTTGAGGGTGGAAGCTTTTGCTGAGTGTTGCAAATATGCTTCCCACAGATGGCATGCGGTAGACCTCTTGCTTTCTTAGTATTGGTATATTTTCCCATGGAAGCATCTGTTTTCAATCATCAGTGCATTAGCCGACTTGGATGAAATTAATCATGAATAAAGCACTCAAGGCACATATCAATCATTACTTCAGCAAAGGTATGATGAAAGTTTCAACTGTAAAATCAGGCCAACTGTAAGTTCAGCCTTTTTTTTGCCAGTTTGGTTCCTGACATCATCCACATTTACAAATTCTATGCTATTTTCTGGTACAAATAGAGCTCTCCTAAGAGACACTTTCCCTTCAGCCTGGATCAATGTGTTGAAATATCTTCTTTGTTCAATGCTATTTTCTCAGTACAAGAAGCATGATTAAAGGGTATGTTTGTGCAAGGTGCAAAGTGAGGTGTGCATCTTAACAAAGTGAAGTGCCACTTTAGGAAAAAAATCGTATCATATAAGAATATAGAAGTCTTAGTCTAGAAAAATATTTCTGAAGCCTATTAGTTTAATTGATTTGAGTGTCATGTTATTAACACAAAAGTTTTAGTTCTGTAGGTCTAAATCCTTTGTACATTAATCTCTTTAAGCTCTAAACATCATAGTTGAACTCTACAATGTAGCAAACCCACCTGTTAACAACATATTTAAGGTAATATTCATCAGACCATTAAAGGTAAGGTGCACTTGGGTTGAAGTGAGGCTTGCCCACTAAGCTTCACCAGTGAGTCTAGGCACACCTGAGCCATGCTTTTGAGATATTGGATATATTGAAACTTAAATTGGCTGGGCATGATAATGATGATAAGAATAATAACAACAAGCTAGATGATCCTTCCTATTTCAGCTAAATGAAAGAACCTTGTGTCTGATCTGCATCATCCACTGAGTAGGAGCTCCTCTGGATGACCATGTGTTCACTCCCCACCCTATATCAGCTCCATACCCCACTTAAAGAACATGGTAAGGTTAATTTGAAGTTCTGACAGAGTCAAACAACATAATTTGTTAAGACTATATGGAAATCAAACCTCTCGTTGCAATTCCTACTTGATTGGATGGTGCAGTGAAATATTTCAATGCCCATTAATATAATCAGCCCAAAAATAGAAAAAAAAAGCTTAGTTTTCAATATACATAACGAGTGATGGAAATTTCAAAAACCTCACCTGAATTTCCGAATCCAGAACCAAAATTACAGGTTCTCTGTTGCCACATTTGCACTCTAGCCCACTGGCAACTTCAAGAATCAGTTGTTGAGCCTTGCTAGACAAACTTTCTATTCCATCACAAGTGATGGAAAAGGCAGAACACTTTTCCCCTCCACAACATCTACTGCTGCCTGAGTAGCATTTGTGCAGTAACTGAGAAACATATTCATCTGCTTCAGAGACAGATACAGCACCTCCAAAAATAACTCTCAGAAGATTCTCATGTGCATCGTCTTCGCTTTTATGTTTTAAATCATCCATCAGCTTCTGAAGCACCGACTCCAAGTGTTTGCACTCTGAGTGTTCCCCCAAAAGTAAACATTTCCAGGGACCCAACCAAGAATCTTCTATATCCCTGGATGCATGAAGATTACATCATATCAATGGATTTTGACTTTTTATTCCTCAATAATGTTTTCCAAATGTAGTTAACTATGTGAAAAATTTACATGGCAAGAAACTGAACAACCAAGTTGCAATTAGGTTAATTATCATGGATGAGGGAGGATGAGGATGTATGTTATGTCAGAAAAATTGAAGCACAATGAATTCTGCAGAAGTGGCTCTACCATTCCTACATGTATACCTGTTCACATGCCATTGCTGACAGACACGCTGAGAGTGAGAGGCTTACCTCAACAATTTCCCCAGGCGATAATCAAGCTTCTTTCTACGTGTCCACCAGAGCAACCTGTTCTTTTGTGTATCATCTAGGGGAGAGACTGAGGAAGATAGGTAATTCTCCTCCAATATTGATTTGAACAGTGGAGCTACATCATCCACCACTGTGTAGCCCCATGGACAAGACCACTTTTTACTGGATCCATTCTCCTCAGAGATGGAACCTCTTCTAAATATTGCATCATCATCATCATCAACATCATCCAAAGATTCTGAAGAAAAGAAGCAAAATGCTTTAGTAGCCGTGAAGCTTATGTACAACAATAATGAAATACATACACATGCCCAGTATTATGTAGCAACACTACAAGGACATGGACATAAGAACGAGAATCCGATGCATGTGTAGGAGCCTGACTTGACCAGACAGAGAAACAAAAACTTGCAGATACATCTATAGAAAATTTTAACTAATAGAATGGCCCATATTTTGTTGAACTTTAACATTATAAACCTATGGAAAATGGTCAAAAAGATTATTATTGTTAATAACATTTTATATAATGACTTTGATGGCCCATTAGCCATGTGGATGTAAACTTAAAGAATGAGAACGGAGCATATGTAATTTTTGTTCAGTTTCTGCTTGGTCTTAATCTGAAGTTTCAATAAGATTCAAGTACTTCATTAACATGAGCTACCTACTTCTCATGATGTTTATGGTCATTTTAAGGCCAAAGATAACAGAAGGAAGACCAGATAGCTTGTTTAGGCACACAGCACCAGGAAATCTGCCTAAACCAGTTTGCTTAGGCACACAGCTGGTTTGGTAAAAATGTTCCAAAAATCTTTTTATCCTGATTGTGTTCACATTATCATCTCTCACCAACCAAATGGCATTCTAGGTGTTTAGCTTCAGATCCCCGAATCTTATTTTCCTTGGCGGTCTCATATCCCTATATCTCCTAATGTTTTGAAGTGTACTTTTGTTATGATCAAGATTGGATAAATCACCACAACACACGTCATCCTAAGGTGCTGAAGTTCTTCCTTGGATGCATTCTCAAAAAGTTCGTGATGATGCTATCACGATATTCTTCAAGCTATTGATTTCTACCCATTCATTTTTCAAAAGGTTTATGGTATCAATTTTTTTAAACTACATGCATGATGCAACCATAAACACTAGAGAGTTTTACCTAAAAGAAAATAAAAAAAGAAACCCTTCTTAAACCTAGTGTTTTAAAAGCACAAGGCACAAAAAAAAATGCAAGGGCCATTTTGGGCCCAAGGTGCGAGGCGCAAGGCAAGGAGAGCACCTTTTTGAACAAAGGCACACAAATGTAAAACACACTAAAAAATTAAAAAAATGCATAATATTAAAAATGTTAAAATACATAAACATAACATGTAAAACATATTTAAAATGAAAATTTAAAAATAAAATCAAGCATAGCATATAAAACATATTCAAGCATGTAAACTCTTAATCTCTTTATTTTTTTTTCCAATTGCATTACTTCAAATAGCTAACGTGATGTTAAACATTATGCATTCCTGATTCTATGAGCTACCTTTATACCAAGCCCCTTGAGGCAAGCCCAAACATGTCCATATCAGGGTCTTAAATTCTTAATCCATATAAAAAGGGGTTTTAGAGCTTCAGTGAGTGAATCCGGGGGCAGAGCCCCTGGCCGAGCTGCTAAGCACAAAAGAACAGAAAAAATGCACAATTTTTCAAAAGGCGCATGCCTGGGCTGAAGCGCAAGGCACATGCCTAGGTGCACCAGGCACACACCTTTTGAAAGTGGTGCACCTAGGACCTAGGTGAGGCACATACCCTAAAATGTGCTTTGCCTGTCCACCTAGGTGCGCCTTTTAAATCACTGATTAAACCAAAAGAAAAATTAGTTAGTTGCAAGTAATGTATGTATGTTCCCTTTCCAAACTGAACAATGTTGAACAAAGTTTAGAACAATCCAAACTTGTTCTAAAGAAAACATATAGCACCTTGAAGAACTAAATTCAAAGGCAAAAGAGTGACAATAGGTCGTCTCTTTGAATTTAAGCGTGATAGTAGCATCCATGGAAGTGAGGACGGACAATTCAGCATTCCTCTAAGCAGACTAGCACAGCCACCTCCAAGCAAACTTATACAGATGACTGTAGTTGTAGGAAGGCTTACAAAAAAGCCTGTAACAAATTCTTCAAGATCCTCAACTTTTTCTGGTGCAACTCTGTAGTATCAACAGAAAAATAAAATAAAACAAAACAAGAACAATGAAAGAAGGAAACAAACATTTTAGCCAAAACAGTTTTTTCAGTGTGCTACTTTTCATTCTGCAGGTCAAGCAATTAAATACCTGTGCAAATTGCAGGTCTCAGTTATGGTGGATGTTGATCCAATAACATTTGAAACCTGCTAAGCATAAAAAAAGTGATGATCAAATACAAATAATTATATATGCCTATCAACTGATAACAATGTGACAATGAAGGAAAAAAAAATGCATATCAGTAGACCACGGCAACTTCGAATTGTTACCAAGCTAAGACATTCGGAGAAGAGAAATACCATAGCAATAGCCGTTGGTATGGTATCAAGATAATACATGTTTTGCATAACATTTGAGGAAATTTATTTGGAAATATAAATCTTTTGCAATTTATTTGGTTATTTGGAAAGAGATTTGGAAAGAGAAGAACATGATTGAAGGAAATAAAAAGACAATCATTGCTAATATTGGTTCTATCATATTCAATTGGATGGTAGTGCACCCTAAGCTTGAAGACGTTAACTGCCTTTTCTTTCGATCAGATCTCTGGTCATTATAGAGTATTCACCTGATTACTCTGCTTAGTTGCCGGTGTTTGTATTGTGACATTTAAGTGTTGTGTAAGGGTGGGTACGAGCCAAGCTGAGCTGGATATTTGGCTATTCGAGATCAGCTAGCCATAAAACCATGAGGCTCGAGCTTAGTTTGAGCTAGAGAGTTGAGCTCGAGTTCGGATCAACTCAAAAGCTTGTAAGCTCAAGCTTAATTGTGAGTCAAGCTTCCTATAAAATTAAAAAATTATAATATAAAAAAATATTTTTTTTATTTTATATATAAAAACTAAAAATATTATATATGTAATATTTTATTTTTTATTTATATATTGATATATATATTATTTTTTATATGTATACTATTTTAGCTCGAGCTCAGCTCGATTAGAAAACAAGCCTATATATTGGGCTCAAGTTCAGCTCGAAGCTCTGTTTAGACCAAGTTGAATCAAGCTTTTCACGAGCCGAGCTCGAATAGCTCATGAAAGGCTCGATTCATTTCCACCCCTAGCATTGTGAGACCTACAAATGTGGATTTGGGTCCCTTTATTTCTCTGTGATGTTTTTTTTTTCTTTTGTTGGACTGTATGGGCCTAGGCTTGTTATGTATTTCAAACCTTTACCAGCTGCCACCCATTAAGGGTAAGTTTTGTCACTTATGTAACTATTGAACTTTCATATAAATAACAATTCTGGGCCGGACAGAGATAAGTAGCCACCCATTTCTCTTCATTCTTCTCCTTCTCTTCTCTAACCTAGAGCAAAAGGTTTTCGTGGTATCAGAGCACTAAATCTGTCCTAGGTCCTGCAATCCTGCATACCTTTTTGTCCCTTCTTCCATCTTCTTCTTCTTCTTCTCCTTTTCACTGTTCACTTTTCATTTCTTCTTAAACCCTAACTCTGGTCATAGCTTACTAGGGTTTCTCTTTTCTAGGGTTCTGCCTTGCCATTGCTGACCAAGGAGACCCTAAGTTGGTTGCCTATGGACTGTTAGTGCACAAACCAAAGTAGTCAAAACGGCTATTAGTGTGACCTGTTTTCTGCAGGTCTAGATGCTGAAATGTTAAACCCAAGCAGTTCAAGAAGCTTTCTGGGAATCGACAGTGAAGGGACTACAGTCAGGTTTTTTAATCAGATTTGAACTGAGGGAGGTTGTTATTCAAGGGCTTCTTTCACTGTTTTCTCTCTCACTTACTGTAAGCTGATTACTCTGTTAATACTTGGACTGAAAGAGTAGAGTCTTCCTTGCTTACCCATGAAGGAGTACATTACTGCTGAGGTGTCTTCCAAAGAGAACAGGGCAAGTGAGAACTTCTTGAACATAGAGCATCCTAGTTTCCCTAGTCTTCAAATCACAAGTGTGACGTTGGATGAATACAATTTCAAAGAATGGTCTATTTCAGCAAAACTCCATATCACAAATCATGGAATACTGGGGTATATCAATGGACAGGTTAAAGAACTGAAGATTGAGACACAAGAATATGGGAAATGGCATAGGGAAAATGCTACTGCTATGTCATGGTTGTGTCACAGACCTACTAATGGGCCCATGGGCCAAAAATAAGAAATCTAGAGTCTTTGGGGTGGATAAGGTTCGGTTGTTGATACTTTTGTAGATAGCTATCTAATTGGAGTCTGTTAAAAGTCATAGGTGAGTCTAGGATTGTGGAAAGTGGTTGGGATAAGTGGTCAAGTTGTTGCTTAATTTTAGGAGCCAAGTTTTTAGGAGTCAGTTATTATCCAAGAGTCTATTTAAGTTGTAATCTTCCTCTTAATGAGCATTATGATGAGAATTATCTTGTTTCTTTTTTTATCAATAACACCAACTTCATTAAATTAAAAGAAGAGAAGGAATAAGGATACAAAGGGGGAGATAAAATAACTTAGCTCCCCAAAAACAGAAAACAAAGGGAATGCAAAGAGAATTATCTTGTTAATTGAGATTTTTATCTCTTGGAGGTGTTCGTCTCCCTCGAAGCAGACAAAATCTTTGTTACGCCCTATCTGGGTCTGTAACAGGCTGTTGTCTTCCATGACACCCAAGATTGCGAAGACAGTTTAGCACTATCCTATACCTCATATGATTTGGGAAAAAAATATTCAACACTTATGGACAAAGGAAGAACAATGCAAGGGTGTATAGATTGACTCAAGATATTGTCACTTCAACTCAAGGAAATATATCAGTTGCAACATATTTTGCTACTCTAGAGGGGCTATGGGAGGAACTTGATCATCATGAAATCATAGACTAAAAATAATCTGAGGACAAGGAGATGTATCAAAAACAGATTGAAAGGAGGTGTTCAAGTTTCTTACCAGGCTAGACTCTTTATATGATGGCATTTGACCTCAGATTTTGGGAAGGGATGAACTTCCCAACCTACAACATGTGTTATATCTGATTAGAAATGAGGAGAGTAGGAGGAAAGAAATGAAGGTGGATGCTCCCACACAAGAGATTGAACATTCAACCCTTGTTCATGGTTTAAAATGTTCCTAATTTCCTTAACATTTCTACATATTTTCATTTTCACTTCCATGGGTAGTGACATGAAATTTTATTGGAATCAACATATTCCCAATGAACACTACCAACACTATGTAGAGTAGAAGAAATAATTCTATAACATAAGTTGGTGACAACATTGTAGATGTGTGGGTTAACAATGCTATTGTCCACCTAACTTCATGATTACCACTTTGAGTTAGCTCAATATTCATTTCAAACATGAAGTTAAATATTAGTTTTTGTTTGTGTAATAGATTCTTTGATTGATCTATTACAACCATGTACATTTTCTATGAGTTCAAATTTTGTTGTAACTCATTCTATCATTAATCTCTAAATCTTAAGGTCTATAGAGCAACCTCAAAATGTTTTCTTTTGTCTATAACCTTAGTTTCTTTGCTTTGTTTAATGATTTGGATCAAGATAATAATTTAAAAAGGTTTACCTATGCTTCCTTTATCATTTCATAAAACATCATTCTATATTTTGAATATTTTACAATGTTTCCACCATGTCTATAATTTTTATAATATTTCCATATGATATTTCCAACATGTTTCTTATATTTGAATGACCAACATTTCCAATGGCATCTACATTTTAAATCTTGTCCTTGCTTTAGCCAATGTTTTAAAAGGCGTGGGAGGTGTACAACTAGAGGCATGCCTCCAAGAGAAGCACCCCCAAAACACCCCAAGGTATATGCCAAAGGAAATGATACCTCTGAGGCATACACCTCAGATGCCTTTTGCACAAGGCATGCTAGAGGCGTACACCTCATGTGCCTCACGACACCTCATACAAAAAGACAAAAGAAAAGAAAGGAAAAAGAAAAGAATGGAAATGAAAGGAAAATAAACAAAAGAAAGAAAGAGAAGGAAAAAAGAGAAAAGAAAGAAAAGAGAAGGGAAGGGAAGGGAAGGAAAGAAAAGGGGAAAGAAAAATGAAATCCCCCTTTCAGCTAGTGTTATGCATCTTCGTTCTTCTTAATATAAATGATTTTTAGTTACTTAGAGAGGACGCATAAGGAGAGAGAAGAAAAATCTTAAGTGTTCACACTATGGAGGGGAGAAATACATTAAGGATATATGTTGGATTTTACATCCATTTGAAACCAGCAGCCCTTAGGAAAGATAAGATCATAAGAAACCGAATAAGGGCTTGGGATCCCATGGGCATGTAGCAAGCTCAAATATGGTTGATGGAGGTAAAAGAGGTAAATATTCTAATTGCTCCTTCCAATTGCTTCCCCAATTTCACTATAAAAGAGGTAAATATTCTAAATCGGGCTATGGTTCGATTAAATCAATCTTCTATTGCTTCCTCGTCTTCTTTTTTCCTTTATCAATAACTGAACTTTATTAAAGATTAGAAACATATACAAAAAAGACATGGAGAGAGGTAAATTCTCTTAACCCTCCCCAAGGGTTCAATTACAACAAAGTCCAAAACAAACCTTCCCTTCCCATTGTGTCTTCCAGAACTGGCTGACAAAACAAACGATTGGGAGTGGTCATGAAGCTGGTTGTCTCTACTATGTCAATGAAAATATCAGTTTTAACTCTTAAAGTATTAACTAGTCAGTGTAGTAACTGCAAGGAGTTTAGTACCACAATTTATCTCCGGCATGCCAGATTGAGTCATTTGTCTTTTCTCTTGTTAAGTGTCTTATTTCCAAAGTTCAAAAAAGAATCAACTGAAAGTCATTTTCTGTGATGTGTGTTAGTTGTTTAAGCATTGTAAAAGCAAACTATTCAAGTTCCAATAATGACGTAAAAGTTCCTTTTGATTTAGTTCATTCCAATGTGTGTAGTCCTTCACAAACAATGCAACTGAATACATCAAGAATCTCTGAACTCATTCTTTGAAGATGAAGGGACTTTACACCAATCTTCTTTCATTTATACTCTACAGAAAAATAGAGAGAAAGTATAGACATTTAATGGAATGACTCGTGCTTTATTGTTCCAAAGCAAGGTTCCCAAGAAGTTTTGGCCTCATGTAATGCTCACAACATTGTATCTGATTAACAGGATGTCATCCAAGGTAATGGGTATGAAAATCCCCTTGCTTG